AAATGAAAATACATTAATGTCCTGCCTCAAAGTTGTGATAGTTTCACCATTGTTCATAAGTCCAAATCAGACGTCTCCTATGACACAAAGTAAACTTTTAGCTGTAAACCCCTATAAAATTCAAAATAAGAGTATATAGGGCCAGGGATTTAGCTCGGTGGAAGCCTGCCTTGCAAATGCAAGGTACTGAGTTCAATCTGCAGTACCAAATAATAATAATAATAATAATAATAAATAATAATAATAATAATAATAATAATGATGGTATATAATCCCAAAATACAATGGCATAAGGGAAACACTCCCATTTCAAGAGGGAGGAATAGGAAGATAGAAAAGACACAAACACGCGTGTGCACACACATACACAAAAAAGAATCAGACAAAAAAAACCCAAAACAAAACACAGAGGACAAACATTCAGTCCTGCATCCAGGCACATGCATGGTGGTGAGATGTAAGTTCCAAAGGGTGGCCCCACCCTTATGGTCTTACCTGTTGTGCCGCCCCCTCCCACCCTCTCTTGTGCTGACTCTGCTGTTTCCTGCTTTCCTCAACAGATGTGCCAGATTTTTGGTATCTCTTATTTCCTGGGGTTTCCAATGCATCCTTGTTTCATTACCAGTTTCACACTCACTCCTCTCAAGGGCAGAGTGACTGGTTTCCCAGGCCTTCCTTTGAAATCAGGATGGAAGCTTCCCTGACCCCATAACTCTTGCATTCCACATGCTGAACAATCATGTAAACAATCATCATTTGGATAACGCCAAGGTCTGCCATCAGCTCAAGGAATAGCCAGGCCTCCTTGGACCATGGATGCAGTGCCTTCTGGGTACTTAAATGACTTATACAAATCCCAGGGAACCAATTCCCCAAGTAGCCTTTCTGTAGCCTAGAGACTCTGTTCTCATATGAAAGATTCACACTTTTGCACACTTAGGCCTGTGATGGGTGGGGTCTTACTGATTCCTGAGATGCCTGCAAGCCATCTTTCTTTTTCTCTTCAGTTTAAAGTATAGTGATACGTCAGTTGTCAAAAGGCTCTAAGCTTGAACTTTCCATCACTTGAAAAGCAAAGTTTCAAAAAAAATATATTTGGTATTCATAACTTTGCTAAACAGTTGAATCGAAAATTCAACTTGAAAAAAAATCTGTATGGGCCAAGAGTGAGTCACGCATCATGTCTTGTCACCAACACAAAGGGGGGAAACTTCAGTCTAAGTGTCACTCTCACCCAGACAACAGATTGTGCTTGTGTCAGTATATTAAAACATATGTCACTGCGCTTTTTTTGTACTTTATTTGCATAAAATATCATAACTATGGCTCCAAAGAAAGATAGTGATAGCAGCAGTAAAGTTAAGATGAAAACTGTGAGAATCATAACAGAGATAAGGAAAGAAATCACTGGGGGCCAGGCATGGTGGTACATACTTAAAATCCCAGCACACAGGAATCTGAGGAAGGAGGCACAAATTCAAGGCCAGCTGGGGATATATAGTGAGTTCGAGGCCAGACTACATAAAGGCTAGAGTACATAAAGAGACCCTGTCTGACAAAACAAAACAAACAAAACCAAACAACCCCACCAACACAAAAGAGATCATTGGGAAATTTGTTAAAAATCCTGAAAAAATAAATCTGTAAGGGTAATTTTGGGGCCTCAGAACCAATTATTTAATTTTCTATTATTTCTTATGGGAAAAATATGTTCAGTTCTCAAACTTTTCAGTGTTCCAATAGAAAATTGGAACAAACGGAGTTCAGCAACCAAGGCATGACTGTAGTTGACTTTGTTTTAACATTAATCTCTTCAGCAGCCACTTTTTTTGGCTTCAACTTTACAAAGACTTCATTTCTGGCCAAATGTAAGATTTTCAAATCTTTCTGCTCTGATTTTGCTTCCAGTTCTTGCTGCATACCTGAATAAAAAGCATCTAATAGGATCCATCCCAAAGCATGAACATTGGCCTGCCCTGAAATTTGCTCCACTAGATCAATCAGTCCATCCCCTTTTAACTCAACCTCTTACAAAGTCTCAAGATATGGGCAAAATGTAGGCAAATTTTAGTCTTTCAAATTCCTCCTGTAAATTACTGCTAAAGGCTTATGAACCACATGGTCAAGTAGAGTCACAGGAATATTCCCACTTCTGGTACCAATTACCTATATTGGTCAGCTTTCCCATTACTGGGACAAAATACCCAACACCTGTGACTTAAAGGAGGAGAGGTTTATCTTTGCTCCTAATCTCATAGTTTCACTTCAAGGTTGGCTGGCTTCAATGCAAGAACATCATGGTGGAAGGACAGGATAGAACAAAGCTTTTCACTTCATGGCAGCCGGGTAGTAGATAACAAAGGAAGAATGCCAGCAGGAGAAATGTACCCCTCCAAGGCACACCCCCAGTGACCTACTATCTCCAACTGTGCCACACCTTCTAACACACATTCAGCTATGAATATCAGTAGATTAACACAATGATGAGTATAACATCCATGATCCAATCACCTCTCCAGCATGCCAGCAGTCTCTTAATCCAGTCAAGTTGACAATTTCAACTGCCACTTTTTACACTGCAGAAGTTCATTAGATTTATCTTAATACTTCTAATACACACACTAAGACTTGGAATACATTCTTGAAGAAACCCTAATCTGACACTCATACCCTGAATATATTGTTCAATGAAATGTAGCTCAAGTTTTACCTCCCGAGATGTAAGCAATTAAATATTTTACTATTATCATTGGTTTCATTTTTATTATATTTTTGTTGACTTCATCACCATGATTAAAAAATAAATTAATGAGCCCAATTCTATTCCCATTAAACCTTGAAAAACAATAAAACAAATTCTTCTTTGGTTACAAAAATCTCTGATTGTACACAGACCTATAATAGCTGGCCATTTAACCTTGAAAAACAATAAAACAAATTCTTCTTTGGTTACAAAAATCTCTGATTGTACACAGACCTATAATAGCTGGCCATTTAACCTTGAAAAACAATAAAACAAATTCTTCTTTGGTTACAAAAATCTCTGATTGTACACAGACCTATAATAGCTGGCCATTTTTATTTTTAGCACATTATACTCCAATGTCTGCATGTTCATTCATTTTGGTGCTTATGAAAATTAGTTATCAATATCAGTATAAACCTTGTGACTCATATAAACTCAAATACATACTAATGATTTCAATGAATAAGTTATTTGTGAGCAACACAGAGAACAAAACATCAGAGGTCATTTATGCTACATTTCTTTACCATGAAGCCCATGAATTAGGAAATGAATCATATAATGTGAAATAGGAAGAAAAAGGCTGAAGGAGTAGGGGAAATGGGAAGAATAGGGGAAAGGAAAGAAGGGAAAGGAAAAAAATATGAGAAAATGAAAAAATGGAAACAAAGCCTTTGTCAATGGGGAAGGGTGGAGGGAGTAAAGGGAGAGCAAGGGTATGGAGAAAAAATAAGAACCAAGACACATCACGTAAAGGTACAAGATCTCAATGATGAATGTTACTGTACTATACACCTAAAAAGTACTAATAAACTTTAAAAAAAAGAAACTAATCATTTTACTGGATAGAAACTGGGACACTCCACCAACCATTCTATCCCCTAACTCCCCACTCTATTGCTTACAGCAGGGTTTATCAACCTCAGCACTACTGATGATGTTGCCAGATCATTCTTTCTTGTGAGAGGCAGTCCTATATACCACAGATATTTAGCACCATCTGTGGCTAATGTTTCTGAGCACTGTCAAATGTCCCTTGGAGGACAAAATTAGCCCAGGTAAGAATTACTAGTTTAGAAATATCTGATGTTGTAAATGTCAAAGTCAACAGTTGAGAGACACCTATGCAGGGCATCAAACATGAAGGGAACAGCTTCAAGAATCCCAGTAGAAAACTCTATGTAATGTAGGTTCTCCCATGTCTTCATTCCTTACAGGAGTTAGTCATCCATAATTGTTGTCTTCATTTTGAACAAGTTATTTATGAAAAAGCATTTGTTTCTTTAATGTTATCTGTCCATCTTTGAAGACATGAAATCCCTTTCCAAGAACTAATCCCAAAATGGTACCTTAGGAAACTATCTGCACCTCTACAACTATCTGTACCAAACACTAGGAGATAGTTTAATTATATTATGTGAGGAATTTGGGCTGAGTTATTTGAGGTAAAATTTAAATAGATAAAATAACAAGTTTAATATTGAAAAGAAATTAGTGAATAAACATTTCTAACTCTTGTTCTGACACAAATATAACATGTATGTTCATTAGTAAATACATTTTGTGTTCTATCTCTGAATAAAATCAGATCAGTTACATATTTAACTGTACAGTGCCTTAATTATGTTTTTTAAATTCAAAAAGTTTCTGTTATTTGCTTTTAATGTTTGAAAAATGCTAAAAAAAAACATATTAAGCTTTCTGAAAACTCTGAAGCTTTAAGTAATGAAAAAAAGTAAAGTACCTAATTTAATAGTCTACAAAAGAATATATCCTTGCTTCACGAGCAATGAATTCAAGTAAAAGTCAAATTTTATGCTAAATGTACTAACATCAATGATCCATCTATCTTTAATAGTCAATGTCTTTGGGGGATTGAGGGAGGAAATGGGATAAAATTTATTTTTAAAATATTCAATGTCTTTATTTTCAAAATGAGTCTAACAATCAGTACTGGTACTGAAATAGAATATAAATATAACTGAAAAGAATAAAGCATCATTTCAATATATAAGTTTTATTCCCAAGATAAGATATTGAGTAAATTAACATAATGTAACACAAAACAATGACTTTCATAATTGCCAAGATTATTGATAATGAGTAAAATTAATATTTCTCAAAATATAATATTGTTCAAATTTAATTTACTTTTCATTATTAGTGAAAACTTGGTGATTTTAAATGTGATGAAATACAACAGTAAAGCAATGATAAGTCATACTGAAGCAATACAAATTTTCTCAATACTTACATTATTTGCAAACTTTCTGCTGTTAAATTATTCCACATGATCTCATTTGCCTGAAGATTTTCATTTTCTTCTAATAAGGAAGTGTCAAAAACAATTTCTTGTTCTTTAACAGCTGTTGTTCTAGTGAAGTATGTCAAATAATTCTGATCAATATTAGTAAATTATCCTAACATACATATATATATATCAGTACACACTAAAGGCAGAGTATTTATTCTCATTCAAGATTATAATAACAAAGTAGATACAAAAAAGTATGAAGTAAACTCTAGGCATCAAAGATCTAGTTATGTAACTGAACCTTAGTTTCCTTTATAAAATATAGATGCTAACTTGCTTTAACCTGTCCCGACCACAGAAATTATAAAATAAGATGCACATATGGAGAAGTAACTTGCAACTCAGAATGTAATATGCATATGAATTCAGTCTTATACAAATGTTTAAAAATCTCATGTTTAAATATGGATTTAAACAATATAGTAATAAATTTTAAGAATACTTATATAAATTAGACATTAACATTGAGAAAGTTTTTGAAAATTCAAAGGAGACAAATTAATCTACAATAAACTATTTCCTAATAAGTTCTTAAATATTTTAATTTTGATAAATAATTGTTTTAAAAAACATAGTATTTTCAAAAGTACTTAAAGAGAAATGAAAATATCATACCTATGAATGTCTATGAAATTATTGTATTCTGTATTAGGATCTATCTGTTCGACTGACATTTGAATTTCTTGATGAACATTCACTATTTCCTCTGTAACAAGACTGGTTATCTGGCTGTATTCATCAAATATACCTTTTCTGAAAACAAAAATAAAATATTACCTTTTAAATTTTATCAAGAAAAACAAGAGACCCAAAAAGGATTTAGAACAACAGACATAAGAAACACTATCAGGCCAGGGATTTAGCTCAGTGGTTTCACCACATTTACCTGGAGAGTAAAGAGATTATATAAATATACAGATGAATACCTTAAATCTGATGACTACAATAACTACAAATAACCTAGAATAGGACATTACCTCTTCAAACATATATCTGATACGCACAACACATAAAGCCAGTGTTGGTAACTTCTAAATATTCTCATAAAATTTTGGATTCCATAACATGGAACTCTGATTCTTTTCTGTGACTTTAGAGTTCCCTGCCAGTGTCTGGCACTCCTCACATGCCCTGCCTCTTGGTTCGTCTCTTACTCTTGGGCTTTATACTTTTTTTTTAATGCAGTGCTTAATTCTACTGCTTCTATATACTTCAATGAAATCTAAATCTCTTCTCCTGACCTCCAGTCAGTAGCAAAAATGTCATCAAAATCATTAGCTTAGTCCAATAAATGTTTTTAAAAATCTACCACAAACACCAAGTCCCCTCCTTAAAAATCTATGTTGCAACACTAAAATAAAATAAAATAAAATAAAATAAAATAAAAATACTATGCTGTAAAAATGTGCCACTGGAAATCACAGAAAATTTGAATATCAAGCTTATCCTATAGATGGTCAAACAGATAAAAAGCGTATTTTTAAAATCATTATCCATAAATGAAAACAATTATTCATAAAGCTCCCTTACTATGAAGTGTTCTCTCAATTACTTTATTTTAGGTTTTTGGGTTTTTTTTTTTCTGGTATCAGGGATCAAGCTCAGGTCCTTGTGCTTTCGATGCAGGTGGCGGAACCACTGAGCTAAATCCCCAGCCCCTCAATTACTTTATTTTAAATAGAAAAAAAAAGTGCTCGAATTAAAGAAAAAAAGGATTTAAAGTGGTTAAGGCAATGCTACATTCAAATGATTACTGAAATTAACTGACAGACACAATTTAAAGAAAAGGAAAAGAAAAAAAATATCAATGTAGCAATATCCCTGGTTAATATGGTTATGACATGAAAATTATAAAATGGTTATGACATGGAAATCATTAATCTTTGCCCTGAAGACAAATGGGGGGCTGGGGTATTATCACATGGGGTTTAATTTCAGTGATAAGATAATGCTTGGATTTTTAAAATGCCAGATTTAAAATAATATATCACAAAATGAAAACAATACGCTGTGAGAAACTATTTTGTCTCAAAATGCCCCAGTTATTGAAAATTCATGTCAGCAGTTTGAAAAATATTGATATGAAATGAGATTAGGAAACAAAATATTTCTAAATAAAAAATGTAACTTAAAGTAAATCTATGAATTAAACCTTTTAAATCAACATTTATTTTATCAGTAATAGTTTGCATATTCAAGCTGACTAAAAACTTTATCTTATCTACTTAATATACTTATTGCAAAAATGGGGATAATCTAAAATTTAGTCTTACCTCTCCAAGTATGTATCTAGCTATCTTTACAATTTTATAGAAAGAAAAGCAAAGGTAAGTGAAGCAGAATCTTAAAGGCAGCAAAGACAAATTTGATCTCCTAACTTCAGAGGTTCCAGAATTCATTACTACTCAAAAAATATTGGGAACATAAATCCCGTATGTGAAATAGTTCTATATCAATGGAAAAGTGTAACACAAGGACAGATAGTTGTATTAACTCTGTGAAGGCACCAGACAGTCCTTCAAAGGAAACAATGAAGCCATTTACTAAGGTTAATTAATATCAGAGTAATCCCTGATTGGTTATTAGGATATTTTAAAACATTCCCCCTTCTATATAGTTATTAAAACAGAAAATGTGTCGACTAGTGCAATTTGGAAAGTTTTACAAAGAAAGAACATGAGTAACATAAAAATATCTCCAGCTCTTAGGGGCACTGAGCGCTGCTTGGCTGATGGCAGCCCACTCCAGTCTCTATCTCAATCTCCACACAGCATTCTATCTTCCCCCTGTCCTCTCCTCTTTTATAAAGACTGCAGTCATTGGATTTAGGGACTACCTTAAATCCAAGACAATTTCATCTCGAGATCTCTAACTAATTATAAAATCTGAAAAAATTCTATTTCCAAATAAGGTCACAATTGAGATTCTGGGCATATAGGAATTTTGAGAGCACATTAGCCAATGTACCATGTCCTTGTGGAAAGAATGTTAGATTCATCAAAAGACCTAGCCTCAAGTCTGAAATTTCCTACCTCTTAGATTTGTGATCTGGCCAGTAATGATCTGTCTGTCCCAGAATCAGCCTGGGTAAAACCTGCTCTTCCTAATTATTCATGACACTGTATGGAACAAGGGAGCAAATAAGCAAATGCACATGAAGTGCAATATTGTACAATATTTTATTTTACAAATTATCATTTTGCCTTTTATAGTTTCTCTGGTACTTATTAAGTTATATGATATTCAGGGTTCCTTTTACATTAGGACTTGAAAAATGCTCACAATTGTCTTTCATATTAATTTACTACTACATTTCAAAGTGCACAAATCCTAAGCGTTCACGGGTTCATTTATATAATTACAGATAAATTCAACTAGAACACACAAACTTACACTTAAGTGGTCCAGGTCACTTATGCCATAATCGCCATGATGCGTGAACTTTATCTCCACCTGAGATACTTAAACACTTATTTCTTCTCTGACTCTCCTTATTATCTCATTTCCCTCCCCTCTTTCCCAACCCTACTAATGCACCCTACTATTGAAGAATTATACACACGTTTTCAGTGAAAAAAAAAAAACTGAATCTAATCATTTGGGATGAGCTAAACTAGCTAATAAAGGAGATGAAGTCCATCAAGGGGTGCTTATCTTTTCTTTTGTTTTATATCAATGTGCATGGTAAAAGTGCAGGCATGTGATCTACTGCCTAAAGTATACTGCTACCTTTTTGAAGCAAGAATTGTGGCTTGCACATTTTTACCGCAATAAACATTTGTTTTTAATTTCATGCAGGAAAAAAAAGAGCAAGAAGTTGGTAAATAAACCTTCAAAAAATTCTTAAAACTTCTCAGTTCAAGATTTAAAAGACCTTGGGAAAGAGAAGGAGCAGAAGGAGAGGGGAGAATTGGATAAAGTAAAATTTATTTTTAAAAAAAGATTTAAAAGTCCAACCCTCTGGAGGCAGGTATTTACTTCTTAATACTTGACAACTAATTAATTATTTTTCATTTAAAATTGCAGCTAGGCCGGGTGTGGTGGCTCACGCCTGTAATCCCAGCACTCGGGAGGCTGAGGCAGGAGGATCACTGTGAGTTCGAGACCAGCCTGGGCTACATAGTGAGTTCCAGGTCAGCCTCAAATACATAGTGCAACCCTGTCTCAAAAAAACCAAAAAAATAAAAAAATAAAAAATAAAATAAAATTGCAGCTAGAAGGAATAAAATAGAAACAGATGATAAAAGGGCCATTCTTGGGCCTCGCTAAAAACTGCAGGAGGTAAGTACAAAAAGAAGGAACACCAGAAGTGAAAACCAGGTAAAACTGTTCTGGGAAACCCACTGGACCAGGTAATAATGAAGCTCAAGAAGCAAAAGCTTAACTGTGGGAAAAACTATGCTGAAAATATCTTTGGAAGACTTCTCATAAGTAAGAACTGTATCTTACAGTGCTTTTATCATTTCTTCTTGCATTTTTTGTAAGGAGTCCAGAAGCAAAGGAAGAGTAGTTTCATAATACTGATTTTGATGAAGCTGAGCCCCTTTCAATGCCAGCACATATTGATTATGCAGCACATGAAGTTTCATTGTGGCTTTGTCGTAACGTTCCTTGGCCTTCTCTGTTTCCTTCCCTGAAGGAACATGGAAGAAAGTTAGCAAAAAGATGAGAAGTTTTATCTTCACTATATGCAATCTGGATTACCATTAATTTATATTACTTCACACATTTTATTAAAAAATCAATAAAACTTTATTGAATACTTATTGTACATGGAGTTTTGGGAAAAGTCCTATTTGCCAGTCCAATGAGATTGCTAAAGAGGAGTTGTGATGTATAGTAAATGTCTGATGAATCTAAATAAATATACTACTCAAAAAAATACAGATAGATGAACCTTCTTATCTTCAAGGAGCTTACACCAAACTGGAATAGCATTACACATGAAACTCTATAAACAAAAAAGCTTGAAAATAATGTTTAATTTTGAGGTCTGTGTTTAAGACATTAGTAAGACAAAGACTGCCAAAAGAGGCTTTGTAGAGAAAGTAGACCTTTAAAAATATGACATATATCAAAAAGTATAATAAAGGCCAATGGACAATAGTTCCTCTTATTCAATGATTTTTGACTAGGAACTGTGCTAAACATTAGGAATGTGGACTTTGAAAACAGAGTCCTTTATGTAGAGTCTGGTGACTGAAATATTGAATGAGTTCATGTAAAGAATAAGCAATGTTCTATAAGTAAGAAGAGAGAGCAATCTGGAGGGGGATGGAGAAACACAGTATCCATATACATAGGACAATTCTAGGCATTGAATGACCTGAAATTTAATCAGAGAAATTGAGATTTGATTTGTAAATATATAGGAGCTATTCATAATGTCATTAATTAAAACTTAAACCTTATTTAGAAAATATTTACAGATTGAGAATATAAGTATATTAATTTATAAATTAAAATTCTAAGCAAATATTTTTGATACCAATCAAATAAATGGTTCTTACCAATTGAGATTTAGAAACTTTACAAAGCATTTATTGGTTTCTGCTTTTTCCTAGGAATTCCTAGGAAACCCTTCAAAGTAATACTATCCCCGGAAATAAATCTCATACTGAGATTCCGACACTTGATGCTTCCCTCTGCTTAGGCTTAGTCACCACCTACCTGCATGTTACCCATTTGAGAACTTCTCGAGCCAAGGAAAAAAAGCAGGGAAAAAAGTAAGGATTTCTGAAGACCAAAGAGACTTCACATCTTCAGAACATGCTCAAGAAGAATAACAAAAATGATAAATACAATTCCCTTGCATTTCTGATCATCCCTATAAATCTGAGGCACTGGAACTACATATACAAAAGGAAAAAAACCTTCCAGTAGACCGGCATGTTATGACTAACAACAAATTCTAGTGTTTCCAAGTACTGTAAGCACCATTAAACTCTCCTAGGGAAATGCACATACTTATTTACAGAGTAAAATTCTTTAGCTACAGTCCATCATTACCTGGCACCTATACACAGGGATGTTAATAACTGTCCAAGTTATTTCACAAAATGTTGACCCAGAAGATCTATTTTATTTTTTCCAGCTATTCCTCAGAGAACTAATATCCATATAAAGAACTCAAAACAAATAGATCTCCCAAAAACAAAAAGCCCAATCAAAAAATGCAAAAAACAATAAATAGACACCTCCTAGAAAAACAAATGGCCAATAAATACATGAAGAAATGTTCAGCATCTCTGGCCATTAGAGAAATTCAAAGCGGAACAACACTGAGATTCCATTTTACTCCAGAAAGAATGTGTATCACTAAGAAATCAAACAGTAACAAATGCTGGTGAGGCTGCAGTAAAAAAAAGAACCCTTTTACATTGCTGGTAGGAATGAAAACTAGTACAACTACTATGGAAACCAGTACAGAGATTCCTCAAAAACTACTAGAAATTCCATTTGACTCAACTACAACCTATCTAGGTATCTTCCCCAGAGTTAAAAGACATCATATTATACTGATACGTGCATTTCCACATTTATAGCAGCACAATTCATAACAACTAAAGTAGCCTGTATGTCCATCACTGAATGAATGGATAAAGAAAATGTAGTATTAGTATTCAATGGAGTACTACTCTTCCATAAAGAAGGATAAACTCGAGTGGTATAGGAAAAAGGGATGCACCTTGAGCTTATCATGTTAAGTAAAGGAGACACACACACTTAAACATCACATGATTTTTTATATGAGAAACCCATATTATAAACAAGGAGCAAAATTAAAAATAGGTAATAGGAAAGAGAAAGAAAGATCTTTTTCAAATGAGAATGGGATCAAGACACAAAGGGAACAGGCTAAGGATTTAGCTCAGTGGTTCCTCCACCTTCCTCAATGGCCTGAGTTCGATCCCTGGAACAACAACAACAACAAAAAAAGACATGGAGGGAAGCGGGAGGGAAAGGAGGAAAAGCAGATGATAAAAGACTTTAGATGTGTTATATGTTATATTTAGGTACCAGCTCCCCACAAGAAATCTAATCATTATGTAATGCAAATGTGTACTAATAAAAATAAAAACTGAAAAAAAAGAAAAAATATTTAGGTATATGATTTAAGTATGAAATAAATTTTACCCTTTTATGAGGTATGCTTTGTAATTTTTTTATTTATTTGTTTGTTTGTTTGTTTGAGACAAGGTCTTGGTAGGTAACATAGGCCACCCGTGAACTCATGACAATTCTCCTGCCTCAGCCTCCTGAGTGCTATGATTACAGGCATGTGCCACAGTATCCAGCTTGCTCTGTGGTTTTTTAAAAATTCCATTCTATTTTAATTTTTAAAAATGTTTATCTGACTCCAATAAATTTTTGCATCAGTTAATATAAATCTCTCAACAAGCCTGAACTCATTCTATATGTATTTGTGATAATTTCATTAATTTAGCAATTAATGAATAACTTCAATATATTGTTATTTAACAGAATATATATAATATTTTTATACATGAATATTGATGCTTAACACCTTCTGGCAGAAATACATTTGATTAAAAGTCTCCAAGAGTCAATGCAAGTGACACACATGCAGCTAGTCCTGAAAGTTTCTTTACAAATGACATGTCCTGCTTTTCCTTCACCTTCAGTAGCTTCTTGGGTCAGGAGGAAACTACTGTACACAGAGATAGCACCCAACACCCAAGTGCACACCTGCCCACGAAGGGGCGCCTCTCTTGGGTACATGCTAGGTGACATTACGGCTAAGTAAGGGTGGAAGTTCACCAACTCCGATTTATAGAAGCTACTGAGGCAGCCCTACACTGTCCTTTCTGAGGCTCCATTAAGGATTTTTGTTTTTGTCTTTGTGCTTTGATCCACTATTTTAAAAACTAGTTTGTGTTAAAATTAAACATACTATTTTTGACAACGGACAAGTCAAGAGATGATATACAACTATCCAGATTAGTTAATTCCAAGTAATAAGCTACAGTGGATATGTTTATAATAAGAAAATAAAGCAAATAATTACCAGGCAAGAGTATTTGAGTATTGTGTTCTAATCTGTGAACTTTTATTGGCAGTTCAAAAGATACAACTAATGAATTCAATTACTTCCATATTTAATGTCATGCTTTTAAAATTTTATTTTCTTATATGAATTTTATTATTTCTAATTAACTTCTTAAAATTTTGAGTTTAACTTTTCAGAGTCATTTAAACCATTCAAACCACCCATCTATCTCATTTGCACAGATTTTTAAACTGCACACTGCCCATCTGTCTTTCTATCTGGTACAGAATTAATTCACCAAATACATAACGCTCAACACTAAGATTTTATGCTATGAACAACATTAGGAAATTTAAGAATTTCACAGATGCTTTTACTCTTCATATGTATAGTGAATGACCAAACCTGAAGAACACGATCATAGCCAAAATCTAATTATCAATCTCTTAACAGTGGTTATTAATATTTAAGAAAAAATTAAATGGCTTTGAAAATATCCAATGCAGAATGCATTACACTAAGATAACAACAGCATTAATAAATTCTTCAAACACATCCTCAGGTTTAAAATTGAATTTAAGCTTATGTTTTAGTATGTTTTTGAAGGGTGCTCTATCGCTTATACTTTTTTTTTTTAAGGATTGAATCAAGGTCCTGAGTTCGATTCCCAGTACCAAAAACACACACACACACACACACACACACACACACACACACACACATACACACCAGGGCCTTCAAATTGAGCTACATCTCCAGTCTTTTTATTTTTCATTTTGAGAGTCTTGCTAAACTACTCAAGGTGAGTTTAAATTTGCAATCCTCTTGCCTCTGTCTCATAGACTGCTCAGATTATAGGTGTGGGCCACTACACCCAACTGCATGTATACTCTTCTATACTTGTTTTTTAGGTGTGTTTGTGGGATGCACTTATCTACCTATCTATACCTCTCTCCCTTCCTTGTAGATATGAAAAGTCTTAAAACATTCTCACTTGCCATGATTTGGAAAGGAATTTAACTGCACTTTTCCCTGACTTGTTTGAAATAAATGTTAGAGTCTAGTAGAGACTATCTAAGTAAACCCTCAAAATGTTAATCCTATATGAATACCAAAGTTACAAATAAGTTTTTAAATTTTCATTTGACAAAATTATTGCCAAAAACTAACAAAATTCTTACTATATGGCTTGTTGACTCGGAGTATCTGAGAGCACAGGTATACTTTCTTAACTTTTAAATATCCACGTATGAAATTAAAAGTTATGTAAAGTACTAGAGTGAACAAATCCTTACTGATAAAGCATCATAATTCTGTTGCAATATGCTTTTTCTTAGATGATGAGAGGCACAGACACAGGGCATGGAGTTGTTCTATATGTCAATTAACAGCGAGAAAAACATTCGATTTTTTTCTTTCCACATAATGAAATTCACAAAGAGATTGAACTGTAATTATTTTGCCACCACTTGTTGACAAATTTGTATAATGTTTTGTAATAACAGAGTATGTATACAACATGTCATGCCATAAACAATATTACGAAGCTTGCAAAACTCAATTATGTAAGTTTGACATTTCCAAGAGACAGTCTAGATTACTCAATTAAGGTAGTTTAGGAA